AGATAACTTGAGATCTCCTTTGATTGCATTTCAAAGACTGGAAAAAGTGATTTTCTGACATTTGTATTGACTATAACAGGGCTTCCTAAACTTTGGGAGTGTTGTCCACTTGATCATGTTTGCAGTATATTAATCAAAGTTATTGTTATTATTAAAAAATAAGTCAAGCAAACAAAAATTTCAAAGTCTCCTCCATTTACCGTCCCACGTGAGTGCTCATGTAGCTCATTTGAATCAAGTATAGTAATTGCAAGGTGCAGTGTGATAAATATTCTGATTTGAAGGCTAAGCACCCTTAAAGTGCAAATTACACCCCTGGGTTTGTGATCCCTTTTCTCAAATATCAGACCATATTATAGTGTGCTTTAAAAATGGTGTTATAAAGCGTCAGAGGCCCCTTTGCTTACCTTTTGCTGGTTCACTGTGTCTTCATGATCCTGGGCTGGGGGCCACACACTGAATTTACCAACAGATTGACGGGCTGGTGGAGCTGGAAGAAATTGATTTGTATGAGGAAGCAAGCAAGAAGAGATTTATATTTTGAAGCACATTGTATGGCCAAAAAGTCTTGAGGTACATTTATCATTATGGTCAAATGGATGACTATTTTTTTCATAGGGTAGGCAATCATTTGTCCAGCGTCATCATAGGTACACACGGCATTGACTTTGGCATTGACTTTTTTTTGATGCCCTGTGATAAAATTCAGACCTACACAAAGACCGTGGAGAAACCCTCCCTGACAGCGAACACACACTCACGCACGACAATAAAATTGACGCTGAGCCAAGTTCTATTTATCAAGGACACATTTTCAAATGAGGCGATCGGTGAGTGAGTGAGTACAATCATAATTCCAAAGAGGGGTGGGAATCACAGTGTCTACATTGCGATATGATATCATCATACTATATGGCCCAAGTTATCTATAGTTTCACGTTGGCGTTTTTTTTTTTAAATCAATACGCTAAAATGAACTGCAATATATGGTGACATTGTTTCACAGAATATTAAAACTAAAATTTGAATTTACAGTCAAATGAAACCTGCAAAAATTTTAACGAGCAACTGCAATATCGATGGTATCACATGATACACGTGATAATAATCCAAGGAATCAAAATAATCCACCTCGGATATATGTCAAAATCTACAAAACTGAAAATGGAGCTTATTTTGAACTCATGTGACAATTAACGATGCAAAAAAAAAAAAGTTCCATAAAACATTACTTCATCTTGCCAATGATATCTAAAGTATCATGATACCACCTACGGCTTATCGATAAACACACAATCCAACATCACTAAAAGCCTTCGCTCACACGCGTGGCTGAAGATAAACACATTTTGCACTTATATGACCATTAACCATGATATATACAAACATATTTCTACATATTAAGTCTTCAAATTAAGAGCTATAATTCAATCCTATACTGCCCAAAAGAAGCTACCCCAGATGGGAATCAAACCCACAAACCCTGTCTTTGGAGGCAAGTGCCTCATCCAAGGGGCCTGACCTGCTGTGTGTCTGTTGCGCCCACTGGCAGAGAAGTTAGAAGAATCCAGAACAGATCCTTGGAGGTTTCTTCTATCCATGCCGACCGGCCTCCCACCATCTCCTCCTCTCCCATACAAGTTGATTCTCTGCTTGCGGAGCTCTTTCTCCCTCTCTTGAGCCTCCCGGATATCCTGCTCCACTTTAATACCATTTGTGAGGGAGCGCAGCTTGAAGAAGGGGTTCTCCTTAGGCAACGTCTCCTCTGCTTCCATCTCTAAATTATATCCTCCTGAACAGGATGGGAGGACATAGGAAGCTTGTCGATCCACACCGAGGCACAGGCCATCTACCTCCGCATTGGTAGGGTAAAGCTTCTGTCCTGGGGCACTAGGGTTGTTCTCCATAATGATGACCTGGCAAGACATTCCCTCAGATAAACCAGGTCCTCTTGGAGGTGAACGCGCATAAGCACCTCTCACAGGCTCTGTACTCTGTCTCCTTTCCGAGCTTCTCACAGTGGACGCCTGTGAGGAGCTCCCTGAACTGGAGCTGGAACTGCTGCTGCTGCTGCTCACACTGGACATGCTCAAAGACGACTCCCTGCGATTTTGAAAGGCTTCAAAAATCTGTTTCTTCTCTTTCAGTTGCCGAACTGTCCCCTTATCGTAGAAGCCAGGAACCTTCCCCAGCTTGACCAGATCTTGCTCTCGGCTGACCTCCTCGTGGATGTCATGCTGCATGAGTTTTCCTGCCAGCTCCCTGTCTGTGCTGTGAAATTTCTCTGACTTGGCAGCGACGGTCTGGTTGACAACAGTTTTCATCAGGGGGATCTCAACGTACTCTGGGGATGCATTCGGAAGCCCCCTTGATCTTCTTAGACTATGTTCCCGCTCAATGGCCCGTCTGATCTCCCTTTCAATGGGGGTCTCTTTGGGTCGAGTTTCTTGGGAGGCTGCGGGGATGTTGGAAGTACTGCGCGGGGAGAAGTCCGCCGATAATCCACTGTCGCTTTGGCTGTCGTCGCTTGAGTCGCTCTCCATTTTGATGAGTTTAGGACCCTCAGCACTGTCGTTATTTTCTCTCTTCTCTTCCTGGATTTGGCTTAATTCACAAGATCTTACCGGTCCTTCACCTTGCTCTCGTCCAACCACCTTGTTCCCTCCAGGTCCGCAGTGGTACTGCTCTCCTGTTTCGCTTTCCCCTTCTGTCCTTTGCCCTGCCTTGTCTTCCTGCCTTTCTCTCACTGTGGCAACACAGACGGAGCCTTTGGAAGGTGCCCCACCCTGATTGGGTGGCTCCATGGCAACGACAGACAAAGGTGCAGAGTTCTGGCCGAGCACCTGTTGAGCAGTTTCCTGGTTTGCTCCCTTGGGGGGAAGCTCATGTTGGTCTTGGGGTAGTAGCTCCCCCTGCTGGCTGTCTAAGGGAATGACATCCACAGTCGGGTACGAGGACTTGGAACCGCACATGTTTGTTTCCTCTTCTTCATCAGCAAATGTAGGTGAACAAACAAGTGGAAATTGATGAGTAATACTTTCAGGTGCCCTTAGAGAAAGTGCTGGAGAAGCGTCCTCACATGGTGAGAATTGTTGAACATTCTGGTGACAGTCGGAAGAGTTGTTGTTTGTGTTGATATCGTCATCACCGGGCCACTCTGGAACCTTCACTTTCAAGCTGGAGGAATCCCTTTGGAAACCACCTTGTCCAATCAACACATTAAACTCATCAAGTTCCTCATGAGACTTTGGCTGCTGGATTGCTTGTACCCATTCTGTCAGCGTCTCTCTGGTTTGGCCTTGATTCCTGCATGCATGGAACATTTCATTGCTATCTTCTGGTTCTGCTCTGGGGGCCTTTTGGTCAAGCACAGCACAATCAAGGCAAGCGTCCACAGAACATTGCATCGGGCACTCTTGCTTGTCGAGCGAGTCAAAGGGACCCTCTTGCTTTTGTAGGGACACTGTTGCCATGGCGACGGCAGTCAGGATCTTTTGATCTCTAGACACTCAGTAAGAGCTAAAAGGACATAAAGCAGAGAGTGAAGCACCGCAGGGATCATTGCACAACATACAAATTGTATGCGGGACGGCCGAGCCGAGATTCAAACTTCTAACCTCAGAATCGTGAGACGGATGTTTTAATCACTAGGACGCCACCAAACCCCGCAGCTGCTTTCCATTGCACTTTTAGGGCTTTTTACAATTTCAAACAATTTCACTTTGATTTTGGAATCATCCTTGCAGCTGCATGTCATGACTTTTTAATACATCACGACAAATAAGTTGGGGTGTTGTGATGATTGAAAAGTCTTTCGCCGGCGAGCCAACGATGCAATAGGTATTGTAATTGCTGTACCTGACGTAACCAACGCTGGCTGTGATATTGACTGAACGTATTGTAGCGAGGGCAATAGTTGCACTCGGTCTGTAGCCAAGAACCGCATGAATTCTGCAAGACCCTCAAATGAGACAATGTACCTGATCACCTTAAATCCTAAATGACTGTCACCTTATTTTCACTTTCATTGCCTTCAGCGTGATATAGGGAGTCTGCAATAGTGCACTGGTGGCCCTTGTGCAGCTCAACCCACCTAATAGTTAATCAGCTTAAAGCCTGAAGGTAAAACACACACACACACACACACACACACACACACACACACACACACACACACACACACACACTCAGGGTAATTCTGGCTCAGCCAGAGTCCAAATTTCAAATTTTGGACTAATCAGTTTGGGGAATGTGCACCACAGCATTGAGGGCGAATTGGGAAAGATGTAGCCATGGATATCCAAAACCTAAACATACAGATTATACTGTATAACAGCATAGGTAGAATTATTATTATGAAAAAAAAGATACCATTCGCTCCCATAGTTATTTCTATGTGCGATAGTTTTTGTCAACAACAAAAAAAAAGCATATGTCTTTTGACAAATGCATATGATCACAAAATCAATTAGATCTTCAAAAATATTTGGATTTATTAAGCTGTTCCTGTATATTTAATATGATATGCACTTCACAGTACCGTTATCTCATTGTGGAAAAGTACACAAGAGACTATGGATTAGAAACCTATTATATAACAGACTTGTGTTTGCCTCATTATCCAAACGAGATTTTTTTTTTTTTAATTTAAAAAAAAAACCTAAAACAACAACAAAATCTTAAGACCATTAAAAGTACTTCTAGTGCAGGCTGCAGCAACTCAATTTAAAATGTGGGCATTTTTAATAGAAAAAAAAATCACTGGAAGTAAATCCATATGACATTTATACATATGATAGCACAAAACCGATCAACATCATCATTTTCAACCCCAGGCATTCCACTGACCTGTAAACAGTCACCGAAGATGCCTTCCCAACGACACACATCACTGCTCTAACATGCACACACTCCTCTCGTTATCTTCAGTGTGCACATCTGCAGCGCACAATGCTGACCAGCAATCACTTTCTAATGCATAAACAATAATGACAACGCGCACACAGACACAAGAGGCTTACTTTATTGCTGCTGTGGATTAAGAAATGCTAATCCTGTTTTGGAGCAACACGTGTTAGCTTCACGCTGCTCGCGCGTTCACATTCATCAGGGGAAAAAAAACAAAACGATACAAAGTTGAATGAATGCTTTAGTGAGGGTGATTATATAGTTATAAGAAGCCAAGTGCTTCTTTCAATTGAAAAAATAAAAATCTCTATTTACTTTAATGACCGTGGCAGTAAAAAGAAATAAACTACAAAAGTGTGTGTCATACATATTGGCCACTGCCTTGTCTTCCCGTACATTGAGATTCACCATCACTGTTTAAAGGGTGCAAAAGGTGTGCCCTTGAGGGTAATACCCCATTGACATGTCATTGGACCTTTAAAGGTACAAATTTAGCACCCTTTTTTTTTTTTTTTTGGACAGTGTACTGAAGTGCCACGAGACAATTCCTTTGACTTCACGCCGGTGCCAGTTGGACCTTACGATGTCCAGTCAATAAGTGGAAACATGATGCGCCTGCCATTTTCATGTCCAAGACTGTGACTACTTGAATACATGTGATTTCTTAACTTTTTTTAAATTTTGCAATAAATGTGCAAAAGAAATCATAACAGCGTTACGTTTTTTTTTTTAAATCACAATTATTTGATGTGAATATTTGAGGACGAAATAAATTCATGTCATTTTGGACTGAGGGTGTAAAACTGAAGCGCTGCGAATACTTTCCAGATGCAATGTAACCCCTGCGAAAGAGGTTTATTGTAATTGCGCAGGCTGCTTTAGCATAATAAGTCACAATCAACACACTATTGTGTTGCAAGGACTTTACTCTCAATAGGATGCAACAAAATGGACAAAGAATGTATGTATTATGACGAAGTGACTCAAGGCTCTTGTTCTCCTGCAGGACAGAGCTCCTTCTTGGGATCCAGCCAAGCGGGCGGAAGCATGTTCAGACACGCCGCCTGAGTCGTGAACTCGGCCTTCTCCTCCTCGGTCACCTCCCGTCTCCTGCTGAACAGGTAGGCCCGCATCACCGTGTTGTCGCCGTCGTCGTCGAAGCGCAACAACAAGCAGTCCTGGCACGACGTGTAGACCAAGGTCACGGTGATGTTGGACTTGTCCCGGAAACGAAGAGCGCTGCCCTCTAGGGTCACGTTGTGGGTGCTGGAATGGCACTTGCCTTCCATGTGAACTCTGGGCGTGTAGGAAATGTCACCGCCGGGGCTCACACTGACATCAATGCTGGCGCTGTCTCTGCGGTTGAAGTAGGAAAGTTTTGCAGGGTCGATAAAACCGCCCGAAATTAGAGCCCAGCGGCCGGCCAGGAGTCCAGCTTCCATTCCATCCAGAGGCCGGATCAGGTCTTCGCAAGCTAAAGATGCTGAGCGGACAAAGCACCACCAGGTGCACGCCAACACGACCCACCGAACAAACGCTCCGACTGGATGCATGTCCTTTGCTGACTTTCCAATGTTTTCTTGCAGGAATAAGAGAGCTGTCTGCTTTTATAGCTGATTTAACTTGTGCAATACTAAACTTCACAGGGTCATGTTGGACTATGACTCTTTGTTGACACTGGGTGCAGCAAAAGTATTTCCCTCAACAAAACAAACAAACAAAAAATAATAATCATTCTTTTATGTTGTCCGTCAAGACGATGTGTGAAGTGACGCCAATGATGTAGTTTACGGGTGCGCAGTCTTTCCTTCTCAAAGGCCACACTTGATTTTTTTTTTTTTTGTTCCAATCCTACATGACGTCAACAAAAACAACAAAGAAACAAACAACAAAAAAGTTAAAATGGGTTCAGTCACAGAGATGACTGAACCCACTAAGATTGGGGGTTCGAATCCGAACTTTGGGCGTCCTTTATGGAATTTTCATGTACTCACCGCACTTTTGTGCGCTTTCTCCGGCCGAGGTTATTGTCATGAAAATGAACTAAAATTAAAAAAAAAAAACACATTTTCATGAACAAAACAAATATGAAAATGCTTTGAAGTAAACTAACAGAAACTACAATTTACGTTTATAACATTAATTAAAACTAACTATAATTTCAGTGAAAATGTCCTTCGTTTTTGTCCATGTCAATTAATATCATACATAAGCTTTTGGGGTTCATTTGATTCTGGTATTGTTGTATGAGGGAAACTCAAAAGGCCATTTGAGAATTGTAGTTTATTTTATTATATTTTACAGTACTTATTGACCTTTTAAAAAAAAAGTTGCACTTTAAAATATGCAAGTATGTATATGTATATATATATATATATATATATATATATATACACACATATATACTGTATATATGTATATATATATACTGTATATATATACATATATACAGTATATGTAAACCTCACATTATTACTCAAGCAAAGAAAAACTTTGCATGAAAAAAAAAAAACTAATAAAAACTAACCTGCTCTGAAATGTTATTTAAACTAACTGAATTTAGAAAACAAAAGTCAAAATGAAATAAAAACTAAGCATAATGAAAAACCCCCAAACTACCCTATTATAATCCTGTTCCGCGTCCGTCTGTCTTCACCCATGTTCTAAAAATGCCTGAAGACCAATTCAGGGTACACCCCGCCTTTTGCTGGAAGTCTTGTGAAGAGGACATTGATGCTTGCTTTGGCTGACCGCCTGCCTGTAGTTTCACAATACAAACCAACAGGAGAACAAAAGTCCCAATTCCATCGCCCCGTTCTCGGAAGTTACATGAAGCAATAACGAGAACATTGCAATCTGTTCTGGGATGGGGCAATAGCTCAGAGTCTGTGACGATTTAATTTCACTCCTGATCCCGTGATTGAGTAATTTATCCGGCCATCTATTCATCATTTTCAAGTCAAATACAATTAAATAAAATGTATGTACAGTATATCATTTGTATTTTAATGTATTGAGCCAAATGTTCAGCATGTTTTATTTAATAACTGGAAATTATGGAAACACATTTTTTTCTTTTGATATTGGATTTGTAATGTTTTGAGCATTACAATTATATATTGATAAAAGATATTCATACATTCATTTTCCGAACCGCTTGATCCTCACTAGGGTCGCGGGGGGAGCTGGAGCCTATCCCAGCCGTCTCCGGGCAGTCGGCGGGGGACACCCTGAATTGGTTGCCAGCCAATCGCAGGGCACACAGAGACGAACAACCATCCATGCTCACACTCACACCTACGGACAATTTAGAGTGTTCAATCAGCCTACCATGCATGTTTTTGGAATGTGGGAGGAAACCGGAGTACCCGGAGAAAACCCACGCAGGCCCGGGGAGAACATGCAAACTCCACACAGGGAGGCCGGAGCTGGATTCGAACCCGGCACCTCTGCACTGTGAAGTCGACGTGCTGGATTTTTTTCACATCATTAGCATTTTATGGAATACATTTTCAGTATCAATATTTTATTGAGACTTGTTATTAATAATCCATTATCCTTCAATCCATCCATTATCTGAGCCACTTATCCTCACGAGGGTCGTGGATGTGCTGGAGCTTATCCCAGTTGACTTCAAAAGTAAGCCGGGAACACTGAACGGCTTGCCAGTCAATTGTAGATCAATAATCCATCCATCCATTTTTACAGCATTTATAAAACATTCACAAAAGAGTAAAAAAAAATAAATAAAAAATAAAAAGTCCACTTAAAAGTACAGTAGTACCTTGAAACAAATGTAATTTGCTCCGTGACAATATTTGAGATATCACAACACCTGCATCAAAATCTTTACGCATTGAAATGGCATTAATACGTTCCAGCCAAAAAATACACACACACACACACACACACACACACACACACACACACACACACGAAAGAAAGCAGGCCTCTTGCAAATGGACTTTATAAAACAAACAGTAATAAAACAATTATGTAGAGACAAAAAAAATACCACTTTGATCAAGCCCATTGAGATGTTGCTCTTTCTGCCCACCAGGGGGCAGTATAATACACAGGAGTTTCGCAACAGAGTATATTCGTCTCTTTTTTTTGCAGATGATCAAGAATATAGCTGAGTGTTGCTACCTTTTCATCTTATGTTGCTGTAATGTTTGTTACGACTGTAGGTTAGCATCAAACCAGTGGATTTTCTTCTGTGATTTGATTGATTACACAACATTTTGTAATTTTGAGGGTTTTATGTTAGATGGCGGGAGGGGAGGAGTTGTACTCAGAGTTTGAGTGCCTGATGTCACATATGGAAAGAAAGCAAAGAGCGGCTGCATGGATGAATAAACATTTTTATTCAGGTAGCATAAAGTCAGGACCGTAGACCGTAACCTCCGCAGCTGGCTTCTTTTCACAAAGCGCCTTGGTGGGATCCATCCAGACGGGCTCGCGCAAGCCCAGACACTTGGCCTGAGCCGCAAAATTCTCCTTCTCGCTCTGCTCCAACTCTCTCCTCTTGCTCACCAGATAGAGGTCGGTGCTGTCCAGACCTTCCACTTTGAAGGTAAACACCAAGCAGTCCGGACAGGGAGTGGAGTAGAAGGTTCCCACCATGCCCATTCCCATGGCTTCTATGGACACGACATTTCCTTTCAAGGTGACATTGAGGCGGTAGTACTTGCACTCTTCTCCAAAGCGGTTGGCTTGGATACAGGTGAAGTCGTAAGCGTGGAAAGTGATGCTGTCTCTCTGCCGGAGGAGGACTTCGTCCGCCATGTTTGTCATGCTGGCGGCAAGCACGGCCCAGCTTCCCTCCGCGTGGCCGGGAGCCATGCCGACCAGCGGCCGCACCAGCTCATCGCAGGTCAGGGGAGCGCTTCGGCTGCCGGGCAGCAAACAGAGCAAAGCGACGGAGCACACAAACACGATCATCCTGGTATCCTATGTTACGCTGAGCACGCTCACTTGGGAATAGCTGCTGGTCACTTATATAGACCGGTTTCACCACACAGCAGTTGAATGATTCACAGAAATCCAATAGAGCAGCGCTTGTCAAAATTTTTTTGCAGCAAGAGAAAAAAAAAAAAAAAACTTCAAAAAGCATCGGCACGTAGGCTAATTCCACACTCTCCCACTGCTAACCAATTACTGCATTTTGAAACCTACAGTGATACCATCGAGCTCCAAGTGGTTCAACTTGCAAGCTGTACAAGATGCAAGCTGTCATTCGGCCATTTTTTTGTTTAGCTTTTAATCAATTAAGATTAAACAATTTGAATACCCCAAAAATTTTGAACCCCCCCCCCCCCCCATGTAAAACCACCACATATAGAAAAACAAGCATCGGTACGCAAAAGCCATCTTGCATGATCATTTTTAAAGAGCTATTTGGACTTTTGTAGACTGGAGTGCATTTTGGGTAGTGTACCTGTGATGGGAAAGAGTACAAAAATTGTTTCACCTGTTTGTGCAGTGAATAATTCATTTGAATTGACTGGAAACATTGAGAATTTCCTGTGTGGATAAATACAGGAGCAGTCTTCGACCCAACGAGTTTGAAACTAAACTAGCTACTCTTCAAGAGTAGCTTTTTACTGCAAACGTTCAAAGTAAAGTAACAAAAGCAGAGTGTGCATCAACAGGTTTATTGAATCAATCAGGACTAACAAAGCTCCTTGGTGGGATCCATCCAGGTGGGTTCAGGTAAGCCCAGACACTTGGCCTGAGCCGCGAACTCCTCCTTCTCACCGGCGTCCAGCTCTCGCTTCTTGCTCAGAACGTAGAGGTCTGTGGTGGTGTGGCTT